ATAAAAGTCAAAATTCAGGACATAGAAGACAAAAAGATAATACCAAAAAAAATCAATGAAACAAAAAGCTGATTCTTTGAAAGGATAAATAAGATTGATGAACCCTGCTAGACTGACCAAGAAAAAAGAGAAAAAGTCCAAATAAACACAATGAAAAATGCAAAAGGTAAAGTCACAACTTGACCCCAAAGAAATACAAAAGATTATCAGAGATTACTATGTACACTTGTATAGAAACAAACTTGAAAACCTAAATGAAAAGGAGGACTTTCTGACATCACATAACCTCCCCAAGTTGCAACAAGAAGAAATTGAGACACTAAATAGACCAATAACAACCCAGGAAATCGACTATGTCATAAGAAAACAACCTACAAAAAAAAAAAAAAAGGTCTGGACCAGATGACTTTTCAGCAGAATTCTACAAAACATACAAAAAGGAGCTGATACCAATCCTAATGAAAGCCTTCCAGGCAACCAAGAAAGATGGAACTCTCCCCAAATCACTTTACATAAAAATAATTAAATACATCAACAGACAAAAACCACATGATTATAGGTGCAGAAAAGCTTTTGATAAAATCCAGTACCCCTTCTTGATAAAAAAAAAACTTCAAGAATCTAGGCATAGATTGAACATACCTCAAAACAGTAAGGAGTCATCTACAAGAAACCCACAGCCAATACACTGCTGAACAGACAGAAATTGGAACCATTTCCCCCGAAAACCAGAATAGAAGACAGGATGCCCACTCTCACCTATCCTGTTCAACATAGTATTAGAAGTCCTAGCTAGAGCAATCAGACAAGAGAAGGAAATCAGTGGCATCCAAATAGGAAAAGAGGAAGTTAAGTTATCCCTCTTTGTAGATGGCATGATTCCATAACTCACAAATCCAAAAGAATCTGTCAAAAACCTGCTTGCACTGATAAAGGACTTAGGCAAAGTCTCAGGGTATAAAATAATAAAATAAATGAGTAAAAGTCAGACACATTCCTATGCACCAACAATAAACAAACAGAAGCCCAAATAAAAAGCACAATCCCATTCACAATAGCCACACACACACACACACACACACACACACACACACACACACACACGTAAAATACCTTGGCATCTTCCTAACCAGAGACATGAAAGACCTTTACAACAAAAATTACAAAACACTGCCCAAAAATCAGAGATGACACAACCAAATGGAAAAATATTCCATGCTTATGGACTGGAAGAATCAACATTGTTAATATGTCCATTCTACCCAAGGTAATCTACAGATTTAACACAATATCCATTAAATTACCAGCAGTATTATTTTCAGATCTGGAAACAACAATACAGAAATTCATATGGAAACATAAATGACCTCGAATAGTCAAAACGATCCTCAGCGGGAAAAAAAAAAAAAAAAAGCAGGAGATATCACACTCCCAGACTTTAAACTTTATTATAAAGCTACAATAATCAAAACAGTCTGGTATTGGTACAAGAACAGGCATATAGACCAACAGAACAGGATAGAGATTCTAGAAGCAAAATCTCAATTTCTTAACCAACTCATCTTCAACAAAGCCTCCACCACCAACCACTGGGGAGAGGAGAACCTATTCAGTAAATGGTGCTGGGAAAACTGGTTGAGCACAGGCAGAAGATTAAAACAAGACCCCTACCTATCCCCATACACAAAAATCAAATCTAAATGGATCAAAGACCTAAAACTAAAACCTCAAACTATAAGAACCTTAGAAAATGCAGGAGATACCCTTATGGAAATTGGAACTGGCAGCCAATTCCTGATCAAAACCCCAAGTGCCCATGCCATAAGAGATAAGATAGACAAGTGGGACCTCATTAAACTTACAAGCTTCTGCAAAGCTAAAGAAACTATCATGAGAGCAGGGAGACAGTCCACAGACTTGGAAAAACTATTTGCCAACTGTATATCTGATAAAGGCCTAACATCTAGAATCTACAAGGAACTCAAACACGCCAAAAAGAAAAAACTAGCCCCATTACAAAGTGGGCAAAAGATATGAATGGACACTTTTCAAAATAAGACATACGAGCAGCCAACAGATACATGAAAAAATGTTCAGCCTCACTAGTCATCAAAGAAATGCAAATTAAAGCCACACTGAGATACCACCTCACTCCAGTCAGGATGGCCATCATCAATAACTCAAAAAAACAATAGATGCTGGAGAGGATGTGGGAAAAAGGAAACACTTCTACACTATTGGTGGGAGTGTAAACTAGTACAACCTCTATGGAAAACAGTGTGGCGACCCCTAAAAGATCTGAAAATCGACCTTCCATACAACCCTGCAATGCCCCTACTGGGAATATATCCAGAGAAACTCAAATCACTCTATGAAAAAGATACCTGCCCACGCATGTTTATTGTAGCATTATTCACAATACCAAAAACATGGAACCAACCATGCTGCCCATCGAAAGAGGACTGGCTAAAAAAAAAAAAAGTGGTAAATATTATGTAGCCATAAAGAAGGACAAAATTATGAACTTCGCAGCAACTTGGATGGTCTTAGAGTCTATAATACTGAGTGATCTATCACAGAAATGAAGAACTGAGTACCACATGTTCTCACTCACATGCAGACCTTGACCAAATTATCATAATACTATAAGAAAGGGATTGGCAGTAGTGGGAAACTGCCAGGGGAGGAGGGAGTGGGATTGGCTATAGTGGGAAACTGCCAGGGAATGGGGGGCACATTCAACAAGAGTACCTGCATAATGAACATTTGTATAACTAACCCTGAACTGTATCTCACATCTTTAAAATAAAGAATTAAAATGTAAAAACAGAACCACAGTGAGATACCACTTCACATGCATGAGGATGACTGTAATAAAAACACAGACAATAACAAGTGTTGGTGAGGATGTGGAAAAATTGAAACCCTCACATGTTGGTGAGAATGTAACATGGTATAGCTGATTTGGAAACCATTTTGGTATTTCCTTGAAATGTTAAACATAGTTACCATATGGCCTAGCAATTCCTCTTCTAGGTAAATAGCCAAGAAAATTGAACTACTATATGGACATTCATAACAGCATTATTCATAATGGCCCAAAGTGGAAACAACCCAAATATCTATTAACTGATGAATAGATAAGCAAAATGTGGAGAATTCATACAATGGAATATAATTTAGCCATTCAAAGCAATGAAGTATTTACACAATCTACAACACTGACGAACCTTGAAAATATGCTAAATGAAATAGGCAAGCCACAACTGTATGATCTTATTTATATGAAATGTCCAGAATAGGCAAATTCACAGGAACAGAAAGTATATTAGTTGACAAAGGCTTGGATGGGAGAGAGAAAAGGAAATAGGGAATGACTATTAGTGGGCATAAGGTTTCTATTTGGGGTAGTGAAAATGTTCTGTAGTTAGAAACTGGTATGGTTGGACAACTCTGTGATATACTAAAAACCACTGAATTGCACATTATAAAAAGGTGAATTTCCAGAAGCAAAAATAGGAAGTTAAGTTGTCCCTCTTTGCAGATGGCATGATTCCACACCTCAAAAAACCAAAAGAATCTGTCAAAAACCTGCTTGCACCAATAAAGGACTTTGGCAAAGTCTCAGGGTATAAAATAAATGTTCAAAAGTCAGTCGCTTTCCTATACACCAACAATAAACAAACAGAAGCCCAAATAAAAAACACAATCTCATTCACAATAGCCACACACACACACACACACACACACACACACACACAAAAGAAGGTCTTTGACTTCTCTGGCATTTTCCTAACCAGAGAAGTCAAAGACCTTTACAATGAAAACTACAAAACACTGCTCAAAGAAACCAAAGATGACACAAACAAATGGAAAAATATTCCATGCTCATGAATTGGAAGAATCAACGTTATTAAGATGTCCATTCTACCTAAGGCAATCTACAGATTTAACGCGATACCCATTAAATTACCAGCAGCATAAATTAAATCTCAATCAAGTTAGTATATGATTATATCTCAATAAAGTTGTTAAAGTTGTTATAAAACAAAAAAACATGATGAGCTATTTTTTTACACCTAATAAAGTATGAGTAAAATTTTTTAAAAAAACTAGAAATACCAGTGTTGACAAGGATGTAGAACATTGCTGCCGGTCAAAGATGGAATAATACCACTGCTTTGGAGAATTGCTTGGCAATGTGTTATGAAGTTAATCAGGCATCTACCATATGACACATCAATTTGACTCCTAGTTTCTTACTCAAAAGAAGTAAAAATGTATAACCACAAGAATTATACAGGAATGTTCATAGCATCTTATTTATAACAGGCCAAAATTAAAAGTCATCCAAATGTCCATCAACAAGAGAATGGATAAACAAATAGTGGTATATTTATACAATGCAATACTATTCAGAAACTAAAAACAACTAATAGGTACAGCAACACAAATGAATCTCAAATTTATTCTCTTGATGGAAAACACACACACACACACAATACCATGTAACCTTATTTCTACAAAGCTAGAGAACAGGCAATACTAATCTATTAAGGTAGAATAGAAAACAGTGGTTTCCAGTGCAGGGAAAAAGGGAAGGGGCACAGGAAAACATTCAGAGGTGTTTAAAGTAATCTTGGTGAACACAGAAGTTTATAAAATTGTCAAAACTAATCAAAACAAACATTTAAAATCTGAGCATTTTATTATATATAAATTTTATCTCAAGTAAAGAAGAAAAAGCATGTAAGAAAAATAAATGTTTCCACTGAAATGTTCATGGGGGAAGTGATAGGATGCCTGGGAAGGGTTTTAATACTCCATTTAATAAAAATGGGGATGAGGGAAAAGAAGATTGGCATAATGTAGATAAATGTTGAAGCCAGTGGATAAGTACACTGGGTTTATAGCATTCTCTCTAGTTTTGTGTTAAGCTTGAAAATTCTCATAATGAAAAGTTAAAAGTAACTTATTCATAAATTAATGAAACGTCTTACTGTAGTTCTGCGGCACAAGTTCTGGGTTCTTAGGAGTTTTCAACTTGTAGGATACATCCCCAATATTAACTATATCACCTAAAAAGAGAACAAAGAAACAGAATCATTGCAAGAGACAAGTAAGAAAACCACACACTATGCCTTCCTCCAAGGATTACCCTGACCTACAGAGAAGTATGTTCTAGAAATTCACCACACATCTATGTCAGGCACTATGCTCTAAAACTTCTGTCCAAAGTATACACTGTGTAAAGGAGAAATTAGTGAAATTCACATTTTAAATGCTTGAAGATGAAGTACAATAAGACACATTAACTAGTTTTATTTTTTCACTAATAGCAATGCTTTATTTATTCACTAACAAGCAATAATACAGAAGAATGCATTTTAACATTATTAAAGCCATCAATAGAATGGAATCCTTAACACATATCCCCAATCTTTTTATATCTTTATATATCCTTATTTTTACTACATACAGTTTCAAGTTATCCAGTAATAGATCCTCAAAATTCAATATTTCTAGTTGTATAAAAATAACAAAGCCCCAGTGGAATAAATGCCAAAAATTCCTATATGAAACAAGTAAAAGAGATCAAAAGTTCTCAGTAACTTCTACAGAGTTCTAATTTTAAAAATAACATTAATTTCTGTTTAGAGCTACTAAGGTACCCTGGGGACTAAGACCTTAAATCATGGTACTAATAAACAACAGCCAACACTTGTTGAATGCTTACTATCTTCTAAGTACTTTACAGATTCCCAAAGTAACATTTGAGACAGAAACATTACAACTGAGAAAATTTGTATGTCTATGAAAAAGAGTTTTTTGTTTTGTTTTGGTTTGGTTTTTTGAGTTGGAGTCTCACTCTGTCACCCAGACTGGAGTGCAGTGGCCGCTCCTGGCCACCGCAGCCTCAACCTGCTGGGCTCCGACGATCCTTCCACCTCAGCCTTCCAAGTAGCTGGAACTACAGGCACGTGCTACCATGCCCAGCTCATTTTTGATCTATTGTAGAGATGAGGTCTCGCCAAAGTTGCCCAGGCGGGTCTCAAACCCGCAGGCTCAGGCAATTCACTCACCTCAGCCTCCCAAAGGTGCGGGATTACAGGCTGAGCCACCGAGCCTGGCTGAAAAAGAGTTTTTATAGATACATTTTATTACAGGTATAAGGCAAACTAAGAGAAAAAGACCATACAAAGCTAAATCCTTGCTAGGTCCAGAACTACCAGCCAGAAAAGACATGGCAAAATACACTGAGGACAAAAGTCTCAAAAACTGTAAACCTCCCCTCTAACCTACCACAGCCTTCCTTCTCCCTTGCCCAATCAACTCTTTGTCTTCACTCGGTCTATCATAGAGATTCTCAAAGCATCAACATCACATGGAAATTTGTAAGTATTGTAAGTATTCAGACTCCACCCCAGAACTACTGAATCAGAAATTGTGAAGTAGGGTCTAGCAATCTGGTGTTTCAATAAGCCCTTCATAATGCAAGTTTGAGAAACCCTGGTATACCCCAAAAATCCATGCCATAAGAGATGCCATAAGACAGACAAGTGGGACTTCAACAAATTGAAAAGCTTCTGCAAAGCAAAAGAAACCATCAAGAGACTGAGGAGACAGCTCACAGATGGGAAAAAATATTTGCCAACTGTATATCTAACAAAGGCCTAACACCCAGAATCTAAAAGGAACTCAAACATGCCAAAAGGAAAAAAACATACACACAGCCCTATTAAAAAGTGGACAAAGAAATGAATAGATTCATCTCAAAAAAAGACATACAAGCAGCCAATAAATACTTGAAAAAGTGCTCAGCCTCACTAAACATCAAAAAAATGAAAATCAAAACCATACTGAGATACCACCTAACTTCAGTCATCATTAATAACTCAAAAAAAAAATGCTGGAGAGGATGTGGAGAAAAGGGAATGCTTCTGCACTGTTGGTGAGGATGTAAACCAGCACAATCTCTGTGGAAAACAGTGTGGCAATTTCTAAAAGGTCTAAAAACTGATCTACCATACAGACCAGCAATCCCTCTTCTGGGAATATACCCAGAGGAACTCAAATCATTCTACAAAAAAGAGATCTGTGCACACACGTTTATAGCAGCACTATTCACAATAGCAAAAACATGGAACCAACCATGCTGCCCATCGAAAGTAAACTGGACAAAAAAATGTGGTACATATACATGATGGAATATTATGCAGCCATAAAGAAGGACAAAATCATGGACTCTGCAGCAACTTGGATTTACAGTCTATCATATTCAGTGATCTATCACAAAAACAAAGATCTGAGTACCACATGTTCTCACTCATAAGTGGAGTGCTGGTCCGTATGGTAGATCAGTTTTTATCATAATACTACAAGAAAGGGATTGGCAGTAATAGGAGACTGCCAGGGGATGGGGGGCACATAACATCAATAAAGGTACCTGATCCTAAACTACATGAAGTGAGGACCAATGGGAGGCCAAACTTCACCTGTGCGTTGACCACTTATGTACCTAATCCTGAATTGTACTCCACATCTTTAAAATAAAATAATAATTTTTAAAAAGAGAGAATCACTAGTCACATAAGTTCTAATACCCTAAAGAACTAGGTGGCCAGGATGGTCTCATAGCACAACCGTAATTACTCCCAGGTATTGGTTGACTGGTCATGTTGCTCTACTTTCCTTAAAGCAAGAAAGAAACTATAAACTGGCCAGGTTCAGTGGCTCATGCCTATAATTCCAGCACTTTGGAAGGCCAAGGCAGTAGGGCTGCTTGAGCCAGGAGTTCAAGACCAACCTAGGCAACATAGTGAGACCTTGTCTCTAAAAAAAACTAAAAAATTAGCCAGTTGTGGTGGTATACACCTATAGAAATTAGCTACTTTTCTAAAGTAGCTTTTCTTTGAAAGAATAAGCTTGCTTACAAACATAAGAATGACATTATCTATTGGCTTTTATTACACAACAGTTGTAACATAAAGAATTATAGCTATGGTATTCTCAAATAAGATGATTTTGCAAATGTTATTTTACTTCTTGAAATCACATTACTTTGGCATATAACTTAGAAGGTCTGGAAAGAATTGACCAATACTGTTATATCAAAATCCATCACATTCTAGCAATAATTAGTATTCATTTGGAGAATATACAAGGTATTAATATATTAATTAATTATATTAGTTAATATTCAACTGGGAGAAGTGCTACTCATGACACAAAAAGGTATTTTTCCACAATACTTTAATTTTTATCAAAATTTGAGTATATTGATATTCTTTTAAACAATTGTGCACTAATTTCAATGATAGAAATGTTTTAACATTTAGACATTTTTTGTTGCAGGAAAGTATAATAAAAATAAAATTTTCAAGAATTAAAATACATTAAGATAAAACCGTGAAGAGTAAGTCTAATTGAAGTACATATGCAAGGAGATAAAAGAATAATGAACATTTTCTGACAATTAGAGGACAGTTTTTTAATCTACTTTCAAACTAAAGATACTGGCAAACAAATTGCTAAAACATTCTGTTTCCATTTAAAAGATAACACTTCGAATTTGTAATTATTTTTCTTTTAAATATCAATATTTACAACACACTGGAAATGTTATCCTTTGCAACTACTTATACTTACCAGGAAGCTTTAGACATTAACAGAATGTGCAAAGCAATACATATTTGCAAAGTCTTACTAGCAGATAAATGAGAAAAATGTTTGAAGACTATTGTTTAGTCTATGAAACTTTTTCTGGGGTACAAGGCATATGTTTTAATCATCATTGTACTCCTCAGTGCCAAAAACAATATCTTAAACCTACCAGATATTCAATAAATATTTGACAAATGAATAACAATTATAGTTTTTAATTAAATATTATTTTCTTAAGTATTGCTTTTAAGCACTAATGATTTTCTGCATTCTTTGACAATATCCCACCTATTACACTTGTAATGGCTTTATTTAAAATGAGGTTTCTTAAGCATTCTCTAAAGGAGAATGAGAATATGTCTAAGAAAATGAGTAACAAAATTTAGGCAAAAGAAGTGCCAATATATGCCTTTCTTCAAGTAAACTATTTTGGTTAAGCACAATCTAAAAATCTTTAATTTATAATATAAGATACTTTTAACAAAAACATCAGCATAACTACAATAATGAGTTAATTTAAAAGTACAAATTGTTATATAATATGCTGCTGAACATTTAATTGCAGCTTTGACAAATAATGTAAAAAAAAAGAAATAAAGCAAGTACACATAACTCAGATTAACCTAAATTCCTGTGAAGTATACAACTGTCACATAAATATAATTGCAGATAAGTTAAGCTGGGTATTTTATTCAGGCACAAAAAGCATAGACTTGGAAATTTAAAACCCTAAAAAGAATCTAAAAGAAAAAACCTTCCAAATAAAACTAAATTTAGAACACATTTAAAGGAACAAGACTTGATTGTATCATTTGCAATAATGCTTATTCAAAGGGATTTCCCAAAGAGAAATACTTTTATAAGAGAAGAAAAGTATATATTCAAGTTAATAATTAATGGAACCTTTTTTTTTTTTTTTTTTTTTGAGTTGGAGTCTCATTCTGTCGCCTGGGCTGGAGTGCAGTGGCACGCTCACGGCCATCCCAGTGTCAACCTCCTGACCTCAGGTGATCCTTCCACCTCTGTCGTCCAAGTAGCCGGAACTACAGGCATGCGCTACCATGCCCGGCTAATTTTTGATTTATTGTAGAGATGAGATCTCGCCAAGTTGCCCTGGCTGGTCTCGAACAGGGCTCAGGCAATCCAGTCGCCTAGGCCTCCCAAAGTGCTGGGATTACAGGCTGAGCCAGCAAACCCGGCCAGTGGTACCTTTTATATAACACGTAATTTCATGCAACCCCCTTAGGACATTATTCACTTTTTAGGTGATTTTCAGTGAATAGCTATTATGTTTCACATGCCCAGTATTCTTTCCCCTTTCTTTTGACAATAGAATTTCTCAAATGGAGAACCTACCCCATTTGGTTTGAGTCCCAACTGCACCAAAATCCCCAGAGGTGAATACCTTACGCAA